AAAATCAATTTTATTTGCAAATAGTACAAAAGAAAACATGGGAAAAAAACTTAACAAAACATGGGCAAGAGTGGTACACTGAAAACTGTAAAATATTTTTCTATACTAGCATAATTTAAAAAGAAAATCTAAAATCAATTTTATTTGCAAATAGTACAAAAGAAAACATGGGAAAAAAACTTAACAAAACATGGGCAAGCGTGGTACACTGAAAACTGTAAAATACTATGCTGAGATAAAGAAACCCTAAACAAATAGAACAAAATACCTTGTTGCATGGAAAGACTCAATATTGTTGTCAATTCTCCTCAAATTGATACACAAATTCAACACAATCTTAGTCAAAATGAGTTCATCTTTCCTGCAGAAATTGAAAAATGATTCCTAAAGTTTATATGGTAATGTGTGACCATTAATCTTCCTATCTCCATTGGACTAGATTAACAAACCTACCAGATTAAAGCACAATTCAAGGTGTGTCTGTGGGATGTTTCCAGAGAGTGACATGTAGCCCAGCAACCTGAGGGGAAAAGACCCACCCTGATTTGGGTGGCACCAACCAACAGACTTGCAGCCTGGATGGAATGAAAGGGAAAGAAGGAAGTTGGCCTGCATTTAGAAAGCTCCATTGTCCTTAACCTGGTACATATTTTGGTACTGCCACCACTTGTCAATATCAGACTCCAGTTTCTTCAGCCTTTTGATGCAGGCTCATGCCAGCTACTTTCTAGATTTTCAGCCTAGCACTGTATCCTTGATCTCTCTCATTCTGCAACTTCTAACTTCTTGGACTGTGCAGCTCCTGGATCTTCTCATTCTCCAGCATACAGACAGCCATTGTGTAATCTCTTGCCTCTGATCCTATAATCCTACTTAATATACCTCCTTTTGTAATTAAACACGTGTGCATGTATTTCTATTGATTCTGTTCCTCTAGAAAACCTTTGCCAATATAGAATGCAGCCCTATATTACCCAATGAAATTTTTTTTTTAAAAAAGAAATTACCTGATTTTGAGGTTTGAGCTGAAGCTACACTAATCGAGTCTAGTATTGGTTAAAAGGTAGACTGTGAATCAGTGGAACAGACTAGACAGTTCAGAAATAGACTCACATAATCTGTTGATTTTAAGTAAAGAGGGTAAAGTGATTTAAAGTGGAATAAATGTCTCTTTCAACAACTGATGATGTGATAAATGCTTATCACATGAAGAAAAATGTTCAACCCTTCATATATGCACAAAAAATTACCTTCAACTCCATAATTGGCTTAAATGTAAAGCTATAGCATATAATCCAGTCACCTTCCAAAAGCCCACCTCTGAACACATGAGGATTTGGGGAGATGTTTTAGGTCCAAACCGTGACATTCCAATCCTGGCCCCCAAAACACTCATGTACATCTTTTTGTGCAAAATCCATTTAGTCTATCTGTAAGAGTTCCCAACATTTAAAAACTTCTAGCATTGCTGAAAAGTCCAAGTCCTATCTCCTCTGAAACTCAAGGTAAATTCTTAGCTATGACACCCTATAAGAAGCAAAAATGCATTTAGTCCATCTCTAAGAGTCACCAACATTTTAACAATGCCAGCATTGCTGAAAAGTCCAAGTCAAATACCTCCTCTGAAATCTAGGTAAATGCTTAGCTAAGACACCCCGTAAAAAACAAAAAGTCAGGTAAACACTTTCAACATACAATTACTTTGCATAATCATTCCCATTTCAAAAGGGAGAAAGAAGGAAAAAGAAAAAAATTGCGTCAAACAAGACTGAAACCCAGCAGGGCAAACATTAAAGTCCACAGAATCTTATCAGCACACAGGACCAGTGGGTGGCCCTCTCCTGGACTGACTTGGGCAGAGGATGCCTCTATGCACTGCCTACAGCTTTCTGTAGCAGATATTACACATTCCTGGCATTCCCAGATTCCTAGAGTCTCCACAGTCCTTTTGGCTTCACTCTAACATCTTCATGCACAGCCCTCTCAAAGGTACACTGCCTAGCCCCCCAGGTATTCTTGTGAAATCTAAGTAGATGTCTCCCTGACCCCACAATTCTTGCATTCTGCATGCCCACAAAACCAGTACCATGTGGATGATGCCAAAGTCTGCCACTAGCTTGAGCAGTAGCTGGGTCCCCTTGGGCCATAATTGAAGGGGCTTCTGAGTGTCTAGATGCCTGAGCACTGTGAAACAAATCACAGAAGATCAATTCCTTAGGCATCCATTTTCAAGCAGGCAGCCCAAGAGCTCTCCTCCCAAGTGAAATTTCTACCATTTAGCGTTCTTTGGCCTTCCTGATTAATGATATGCCTTCAAGTCAACTTTTCTATTCTCATGATTGCTTTTTAATACTAATCATTTTAGCAACCAAGCTCTCTTTGGCCCCAACTTTGCAGATGCTTTCTTTCTGGCCACAAGCAACACTTTTCCAATTTTTTTTTTTTTTTTTTGGTACCCAGGTATCAAAATTGGGAACTTGCACCTGCAAGGCAGGTGGACTTTTCCAATTATTTAACTCTGCCTTTTTCTGCTCATTCTCATGGTAGGAATAACTCAAAACAGCGAGCAGCACCTGTGCCACAACCTAAACAATGGACCGCCTTGCAATTTCTTCTGCCAGATTAATTAGTCTGCTGCCCTTAATGTCAGTCTCTTGCAGAGTCTTGGGATGTGAGCAAAATTTAGATAAATTTTCTGCCAGAGTTTAATGCACATGGTCTTCCTTTCAATGGAGTCCTTCTTCCCAACTGAAACCTCCTGAGCCTACATTTTCCTTATCATTCTGGTTTTCTGAGCTCTGACCAGAATCTATATCAAGCTCAGATTACACCATTCCAGGGCTTTTCCAGCCAGCAATTCCAAGCTTTCCAAACTCCACCCACAAACCAGTTCTAAGGGCTTCTGAATCACATGGTCAGGAATGGTCAAGGCAACAAATCCACTCTTGCTACCAATTTATGTCTTGCCCACTTTTCCTTACTGGGACAAAACTTACCCGTAACTTAAAGGAAGAGAGGTTTATTTTGGATCATGGCTTTTAGAAGATTCAGTCCATAGTCAGCTGGCTCAAAGGCAGGAAGAATAAAATGGAAGGGTATGGTGTAGGAAAGCTGCTCACATGATGGCAGCCAGGAAGTAGAGAGTAAAGAGAGTGTGTGTGGGGGGGTGTGCTTTTCCATGTCACACCCCTAATGACTCACCTTCAACCAGACCCCACCTCCTAACAGCAAGTCAGCTATAGCACCCCTATAATTCAATCACATTTTAAAAGCAACACCTCTGAATACGTAAAGCTTTTGGGAGACTTTTCAAATCTAAATGCTAACACTAACAATAAAGGAAATGAAGATTAAAAGCAGTAAGATAACTATTTCATCCCTAAAAGCATAGCAAAAACTAAAATGCCAATAAATTCTGGAAAGAAAGTAGAGCAAATAAAGTACATATCTTATTAATAGGAATGTAAAATACTATAACTACCCTGGAAAACTTCTGGTAATGTTTTCAAAATTAAGCATATGCCTACCATGTAACCTGGCTATTCCAGTAAGAATAATATAAGAGAATTGAAAATAGCTATCCACGTATGACATATGCATGATTGTTCACAGTGGCCTTACTCACAGATATCTATTCAGAATAACAAAAAACTGGAAACAATTTACTAACAGATAAATAGTTAAATTGTCCACACAATGCAATACTATTCAACAAGAAGGAAAACACAGTAACACTGATGAATCACAAAATCATTCTTAGTGAAACAAAATAATGCAAAAGAATATATACAGTAGTACAAAAAAATACTAAACTAATAAAAAATAAATATACTATGCTAACAAAAAGCAGAACAGTGGTTGCCTGCTCTGGAGGGGGGCGGGGCAGAGACGCACTGCAAAGATACTTGAGGAACATTTTGGAAATGATGAAAAAGTTTTGTATCTTGTTTGTGCTGATGATTCTCAAGTATTAACTGTCAAAGTTCAACAAATTGTGCATTTCTGCATTGCATGGAGTTGTCTATAAATTATTCCTCAACAAAATTAAAATGAGGTAATAATTAAAAGTGGTCCTAAAACATCATTTT